CAAGTTAAGATGAGTTGAGTTAATAAAATGAATGAATTATTGACTTATTTAAAAGTTATTTGAACTAAAATGAGTTTTAGGCAAAAAAATTTGAGTCATAACTTAATCCAATCATTTTTTATTAAATTTCAATTGCTATATCTATTCTTTTTTTTACTGCCTAATAAATTATTATTATTATTATTTTATTATGCTACATATAACCTATCAAATAAAAAAAATTTAAAAATATTTTAACAAAATTTGTCATGGCTCAATTTGGGCTAAATATCACACTAATTTTCTATGAACTGAAATAAACTGAGTTAATTAATAACATGCTAATAATCTGTCTAAACTTATAACGGCATGTACGGATTATAAAATCAGGGTGACTCGAGACAACTTCTCAAAGAATTTCTTGTTGCAATTGGACCTCAGAAAGCTCTCACTCCTCTCTATCCATTATTTTCCTTATTTCATTCTTTATTTTAAGCCTTTTTAGATAGAGAATTAATTACTATTTGGATGTTAGATAGTGGATTGAGAATGATATACTCGTTGTGTTATACTCTTTTATTCCTTTCTAGTCCACAAGTTAATTAGGTTCATCAATCGTTCGACAAGTTGGGTGCATAAACTTGATTAGTCTAATTTTAACACCACTGAGAAATTAATACTGTTAATGGAATATTAGTTTTTTTTTCTTAGTGACAAATAGCTCAGTCTACCTAGAGTAAGGTTCTAATTTCTAAATGTCATTAATTTGACCATCTCACTTGCACTACTTTTTTTTTTGGTTTCCCACCCGGTGTTTGGAGCCTACATTGGAGCTCCGACTAAATCCAGATCGCGCTCTGCAGGGCCCATTCGGGGGTGGCGCTTCCAACAAGATTTTCTCCATACCCAGGGCTCGAACCTGAGACCTCTGATTAAGGGTGAAGCACTCCCACCAGTGCACCACAACCCACGTTGGTAAAGAAACACCCCTGTAGGGGATCGAACTAGAGACCTTGCGCCATAGCTGCGGCGCACACTACTTAAATAAGAGGAATGTGTTGGAGAGGGACTAATGATATTTTGTAAAGAGTGGATTGGAATGACATAATATAACAGTACTGTTTGATTAACAAAGTTTTTTTTTGTGTGTGTGTTGCCTATCGATCAGTTTCTTTTTATAATTACAAAAATATCATTGTGTGTAATATTATCTTCTTATAATTTTTTAAGGACACATAAGAAAATAATGGGTTTGGAATAAAATTTTATTTTACGTTAATAATTTAGTATGTATGTATTTTACTTTTTTTTTTTGAGAGAGATCAAAATTTTCGGAACGAATTAAGATTAACGTTGCTCATTGCATGTTCATGTTTGAACACGAATTTGTGCCCCTACATGTCTTGTAATGATTTTATTAAAGTGTATTCTGCATTAAAACATGACATGACGGAGCACTAGACAATTTACTCGTAAAGTTATTAATAGTAGCACCACCGAGTCAAGAATATTAATTTAATTTAAAATAACATAGTGCGAACAAATTAAAACTGTCAAACACACACTTTTATTTATTTATATGATAAATACAATCTATCTGAAGCACCAGAAAAAAAGAAATTTACCCACCATAAATTAAGAAAAAAACATGTAGTAATTCATATCCATCGTGGCAGATTCAGAAAACAACAAAATAAAAATGACATAAGTAAAAATCTAGAAAAGAAGTAGGAAGCAGAACATAAATCTAAGGATAGAAATTATTAGGCCAGACATTAGCATTATGATTATCATTAAAATTGGGCAAAATCATCTCATCTGCATGTCCATAACCAATATGCTGATCACTTGTGTTGCTGTTCATCCAATCAGTAAACCACTCTGTTTGTGTCCTCTGCATCGGATCCAATCCCAATTCCACCACAGCAGGCTTTTGCTCCATCGGTGGAGGAACAGCCTGCGATGCTGCAGCTGCAGCCACGGCTGCGGCTGCAGCAGCCGCAACAGAAGAAGAAGAGGAAGTCGAAGCCCCCTTTTTAACTGCCTCAATCCTCTTATAAACCTCCTTCAAGTTCTGATCAATTACCCATCCAAGATCATTCAAATCTCCCAAATTCAAATTCTGAAGCCCTTTTCCGGTCAACCCCTGATACATAACTTCAGTCATTTCCTTTTCTCTGTTTTCCTTGCTCTGTTTCTTCAATTGCTCACTCGCTTTAGCAATCCTCTGCCTTATGAAACTCTCTTGATTCACCATTTTTTTGCTCTGTTCCATCTCAGGCATCCTTTTAAACTCCGCGAGCACTCGTTGAGCTCCCATGGTGTTTGGCCATACTTCTGGTGAAGTGTCATAAGGGCTATAAATAATAGCACAAGCATCAATCCCACAAAGGGTGCTCAATTCACTCACCTTCTTCATCAGACCCTTCTTCCTTTTCTTGAATGTTGCTTTTCTTGCCGAGTCATTAGTGATGAAGGCTAATTTCACTTTCTTTCTTGTCATTTTTTTGGCTTTCTTGGATGCAACAAATATGCAAACAAGGTGAAAAAATATGGTAGATGTAGAGTTCTGTGTTCTTTAGTTTCTTGGAATGGGCATGTTATATACAATTATGAAGATGTTTCACTAATTAATATGGAAGATTTTGTATTTATTTGCATATCTGGAAGATGAATTGATGATCAAACATATTTGGAAAAAATTTAGTGCCCAAATATTTCAATTTTAATTGCCAATACAATTTTTTTTCCCACCTGACCAGGGGCGGAGTCATAGTGTCATAACTGGTTTATCCCAAAAATTAAAATTGTTAAAAATTAACGCGATATATACTCATAGACGTGTTTCTTACGTAGACGTAGAAAAAAGAGAAAACAAATAAATTATTACTTGCTAAATTTCCTGCAACCCTATCTGATATAGAAACATAAAAGATGAGTAAAATAAGGTTGTTAATAACATTTTTCAGTGGAATTGTAGTTTAAAAGTTGGTATTTTAAAATTAACTCTAATAATTTGGTTATTATTTATTTTATAATAAAAAATCATTAGTTGAAATTTGTCATGACTTATTCATAGACTTTAATTCTATTTAACAAAAAAGTATGGTATATTCAATTTTCACATATCTTACGGACCATATGTTGCATGTAAACATATTAATGAATGAGTTGTATAAAAGGTAACTATGGTAAGCTTTAAAATCAAATTATAACGGTCATCCTACGAGATCTCATGTAGTCATTAGATACATCATACATGGACAAAAGTGAATTTGGAAATTAATAGATAAATCATAAATTCCAAACACTAATTTTTTTTCTTAGTAGAGTTCATAATTTTTATAGACAAATATTAAGTTATAATCAATGTATGGACTAACAAAGATATATACAGTATGACAACGTGAATTTCATATGTTGAAAACTGAGAAAAAAAAAGTGAAGATAGAGTAAATTTTAAATAATACCCCCCCCCCCCCCCCTCCAATTTATATATAACCTTCACAACTTTAAAAATATATATTCATTAAAATATTTACATTTTCACTTGTCATGTATTTCTCTCTTTGCAACTGTTACTTTAATATTTTCTTTTATCAGTGCTGTGTACTACAATAGTCAAATTAGTAGAATAAATTATGTTTCTAATCAAACTTCATTATATGTAGTAGTAATATGATGTATTTCTCTCTTTGCAGCTGTTAGTTTAATTTTTTCTTTTATCAATGATATGAATTACAATAGTCAAATTAGTAAGATAAATAATATTATCTAATCAAATACCATTTTATGTGGTAATTAGGGGTAGTTACAACCAATTTAACAAAAACAACTTAAAACGGCCACACACATATATATACAATAGAACAAAACTATATGAGGTTTCAAACACTAATTTTGAACAAGTTCATAGGCCTGAATAAAACCTCGTAAAATAAAGGGAGCGGAATGTCAAAACGAAATCTTTTTTTATACATAGTTAGAAACCTTTACCCTTACAAGTTACAAGTAGAGTAAATTTTAGGTTTAGCAAACATAAAAATCATATTTGTATGCTATAACTATAGTTTGTATAATTGCGCTCATAACAAACTTTATGTTTGCTATGGCTATTAATCTGTATATTTCGGTATACATATACATAAAAATCTGTATTTGTATATTTCGGTATACAAACTAAAACATAGTAATTGTATATAAACAAAATTACTACATATATACAGCACATATGTATACCGAATGAGTCTATTTGTATATTTCGATATACAAATGAGTCCTGCAATTATTTTTTATACAACACATATGTATACCGAATGGGTCTATCTGTATATTTGGTATACAAATGGGTCCTGCAATCAATTTTTATACAACACATATGTATACCGAATGGGTCTATTTGTATATTTTGGTATACAAATGGGATGACAAAAAACATGAAATGTTTGCTGCGAATTACAAATAAAAGAAACTATGGCTATAACATTTAATTTGAATTAATAATTTGCTATTTCATACCATTTTCCGTAATGTATTACAAAAACAAACCACGGAGATTTGATTTGCTTTTACATTTCAAATAATCTCGGCATACTTGCTCTCCAATAAACAAGCCCAAAATCATTAACGGCCCATGTGATAACGATATGGGCTAGTTCAGTCTGGGCCTTAAGCCTAAGCCTGTTGCTCACTGGGTAGGATCATACCATATTTTTCACTAGTTTTCCGCCATTTTCAGAGTTGGTATAAAACCCTAAACCAAGAAATTTCAGTTCAAAATTTCAAATTTCTTGCAGAAGCAGTAGATTAACACACCAATTTTGTCGTAGAAAAAGGTTATTTTCTCTTTTAATGTAGTATTCATTTTTATTTGTTTTCTGTGAAGAGTGTTTTTAATTATCATTTCTCATATAATTTACGAATTTCCGTTTCTGTGGTGTTGATATTGCAGAGAATGAGCCAATGAAAGTCAAGATTTTGCGTATCCTTTTGTGATTATGTCATTGATTTGAAATATTTAAATGAAGGATACGGTATGTATGTTGGTTGAGCAGATAATTAGTGCAGTGAATTACAGCAACTGTTACTAAATCATTTCTGATATGAAAGCTTAGTTTCTGTCTAAATATGTAATTAGTGATTGGATATGACTTATCTTGTGATCTTAGGATTTTAATATCATTGATTTCTGAAGTTTGTTGGAGAATGTAGAGCCATTGAACTCCCCCGCAAATCTACTTTAATTTGTGTTTCATCGATTGTTTCACTAAGGTACATAAGTGCATATTCTGATTTTCTTAAGTAAATGGAGGGTGAGCGTAATGTTGCAAGTTTACAGTTGCTTTGACTGAAGGATATGTTGGCATATTTCCTTGAGAATTGGCTGTATCAGTATATCATGAAGTTTCCCTTAACTTGTTCTGTTGGGTGTTTTGCTGGGATCGTGAATAGAGTATGTACTCTTCATGGCATTTGGTATTTTAATTGTTGTCGGACTTAAGACTACATGACGTGGTTACTTCATCTTACTTTTGTTACTTCCTCATGCATTGCAGATGGCATGCGGTTTCTTCATGGACATGGGATGCTCAGGATGAAACTTGTGGTATATGTAGGATGGCTTTTGATGGTTGCTGTCCTGATTGCAAACTCCCTGGTGATGATTGTCCACTAAGTAAGCCTGTTTATCTCTCCATAATAGTTTTCTAAGGCATATAAGATACTGGATCACCATTCACATGTAAACCTAGTGTATCTGTATATCCAATGAGTTGCACCAATTCATATATGTTTACTGGATGAAATATTATGTTTTGTACATTGCATATTGGTATTGCCTTATATGTCTGTACATTGTCTATATGTATTTGTACTTTCAACTTTGAGAAACATTGTTGATGCAATTGGTGAAATAATTCAAGCATCAGAATATTCTGGCTCCTAGACTTTGCATTTGTGCCTTTCAATTGAGGCCATAAGCTAGCTGGACTATCTTGCTAAGAGAAAAAAGAAAATATAATTTTGCATTCATCATTTCTTTGACAAAACGGGAAAATACCCCCTGCATTATTTATTTTTTATTTTTTGACAAAGGTAACAGTTTTGTGTATTAATATTTAGCACTAAAGGCTGGGATCCCAAATTTACATCATGGAGCTACATACAATTGCGTGTACTTAAAACAAAACTAAACTAGATCCTACTTCATCTTACAAAGGACCTAGGATATCTCTAACCGCTATAGGATCATCTACATACTCCGAACTACACCCATAGCAAAAAGTGATTATGCAGTTCATTTTAATCCTGTGTAAAAGACTACTACTACTCTCAAAGCATCTCATATTTCTCTCCTTCCATATGGTCCACCAAATCACTGCTAGGACAATCCTCCATTTGCTTTGGTCTGTACTGCCACTGCCTTCATTGTTCCAGCTTTCTATAGCCTGACTTGCCCTTTGTGGCATGGTCTAGTTTGTGCCCCTGAAGCTGGTAAATAAGTGTCATAGTTGTCTAACCACCTTGCAATGAAGAAACAGATGGTTGATTATCTCTGCCTGTTGCTCACAAAAAAAACATCTAGGACACATATGTATTCCCCTCTTCATTAGATTCTCCTGTGTTAGTACCGCCTCTTTAACTACCAACCAAGTAAAGACTGTCACCTTATATGGAATTTTGACTTTCCAGATAAGCTTCCAAGGCAAAAATCCGAGTTGAGTCCCCATTTGATTCAGGTTCTTGTAGGCAGAGCTAACTTTGAAGATACCTTTGCTGTGATGAATCCACCTAAGAGTGTCTTCTCCCTCTTTCAATCCTCCAAAATGGTCCCGGGTGCCATAAAATTCAGCTAGTCTATCCACCTCGCAGTCTTGTATCCTCCTTCTGTATGTTAAGTTCCATCCATGGATGGACCAAATTTCTTGCACAGTGGCCTCATGTTGCTGATTCAACAGATAGATGTCTGGAAAGAGCTGTTTGAGGCTGCCATTTCCTAACCAATTATCGTCCCAAAACAAAATCTTTCTTCCATTGTTTACATTAAATCTAGTTCTTTGAAAGAAACAATGCCACAAATTTCTGATTGATCTCAATAGGCTAATACCATAGGTAGAAGTCACTTCCTTAGTTTTCCAGTGATCTATCTTCTCATACTTGGCCTGAATCACTCTAACCCAAAGGGCCTGCTCCTCGTTAGGAAATCTCCACAACGACTTCATCATAAGGCTTTTGTTCCGTTTCTTCAAGTTTCTAATGCCTAAACCACCTTGTTTCTTTGAAAGAATTACAGTCTTCCATTTGACCAAATGAAATCCTTTGTATTCTTTCTCTCCATTCCACAAAAAATTCCTCCTTAATGCATCAATTCTTTCCTCCACCTTAGGGGGGAGAGGAAAAATTGACATCAAATATGTTGGCATAGCATCTAAGACTGAGTTGATCAGGGTCAATCTTCCACCTCTAGACAAATATTGTGCTTTCCATCTAGATAGTCTTCTTTCACATCTCTCCAGCACCCCATTCCAGATTTCATTGGATTTGCTTTTGTCTCCCAAAGGCATCCCCAAGTATACTGTTGGTAGTTTACCTATTTCTCCTCCCAAGATCTCTGTCAGATGTTGCATTCTGTTCACCTCATTAATTGGAAAAATAAGACTTTTTCTCCAGTTGATATGGAGACCTGAAGTTGCTTCAAAAAGAATGAGTATCACTCTCAGAATTTTAAGTTGGCTTTCTTCTGCATCACAGAAGATGAGAGTGTCATCTGCATATTGGAGATGAGTGACTTCCAATCTTAGATTCCCATCATTTGCTACATTAAAGCCCCTTATCCACCCTTTAGTGTGAGCAGTCTTTAGCATATTGTTTAGGCCTTCCATCACTATAATGAATAAAAAAGGTGAGAGGGGATCACCTTGTCTTAGTCCTCTGTCTGATGGAAAGAAACCTTCAGGAGATCCATTTATCAGTATTGAGAATTTAACAGTGCTTATACAAAACTTTATCCATTTGATCCATTTCAATCCAAAGCCCATTCTCTGCATGCTTTCAAGTAGGAAGCTCCAATTGACATGATCATATGCTTTCTCTATGTCCAGTTTGCACATAACTCCTGGGGACTTTTCCTTCACTCTCGAGTCTAGACACTCATTGGCAATTAAGATTGCATCAGTTATTTGCCTTCCTCTTAGGAAGGACATTTGTTGAGTATCTACTAGCTTGTGCATCACTTTCTTCAATCTTTCTGTGAGAATCTTTGCAATCAACTTGTATACACTTCCAATTAAACTGATTGGTCTAAAGGCTCTCAATTCCTTTGCACCACTCTTTTTTGGGACGAGAGCTATATATGTTGCATTAAAGCTCTTTTCAAAAAACTCCTGGGAGTGAAAGTTCTGCATAGTAGACATCAAATACCCCTTCACTATCTCCCAGCAATTAACAAAAAAACCCATTGTGTATCCATCTGGACCTGGTGCTTTGTCTACAGCACAAGCTTTAAGTCCAAGAAGGACCTCCTCTTCTTCAAAAGGCTTTTGTAGTTCTTGTTGCTCCTCAAAGCTTATGGAAGGACACTGGTTCATGTGAAAGGATGGTCTCCGGTGCTCACTTTCCTTGTACAACTTCCTATAAAAAGAAATAATTTCTGTTTTGATATCAATAGGATCCACCAGTTCTTGATCTGCTACCACCAGTTTATCAATATGGTTGAATCTCTTATGAGCATTTGCCATTCTCTGAAAGAACTTTGTATTTTTGTCCCCTTGTTTTATCCACAGAGTTCTAGATATCTGTCTCCATGCTATCTCTTCCTTCTTTGCGTACTCTTCAAACTCCTTTACCACACTTGCTTTTTGAAGAGTCTCTCCTTCCGTTAAAGGCCTGGACTGTTGAATTTCGTCAAACTCATGAACTCTGTTGAGCATTTCCTTCTTTCTTTTTTCCAGGTTCCCATAAGTGTTTACACTCCAGTCTTTCAGTTTAGTCTTCATAGCTTTCAGCTTGGAAGCTAAGATGAAATCAGGCCTCCCTTCGAATTCAAAAGATGTCCACCAATCTTTAATTCTTTCATTAAAACCCTCGGTCTCCAACCACCATCCTTCAAATTTGAAATATGATTTTGTATGACTCCAACGGCCACTTTTAAGTGCAATTGGTGCATGGTCAGAGCAAACTCGAGGTAATAGTTCTTGCTTCACATTGCAGAAACTCTCCCCCCACTCAGAGGAGTACATAATTCTGTCTATCCTCGAAACAGCTTCCAGGCTGGATCCCCTGGCCCACGTGTAGTTCCCCCCTTCAAGTGGTGGATCAATTAGCTCCATGTCCTCAATAACATCGGAAAAATCATTCATGTACACAGAAGTTCTGGAGCAGTTCCTCTTTTCTGAAGCATATCTAACAATATTGAAATCACCCCCAAGGACCCAAGGCCCTGTAAATAAACTCCTGACAGCTCCTATCTCCCACCACACCTCCTGTCTTTCTAAGTTGCAGGTTGGTGCATATACCCCTGTCATGTGCCAAGTGAAACCATTTACCCTTGATTTAAAACTGCAAGTCAAGGTGTATGAGCCTATCTCCACTACTTCCCCTTCCCAAACATTGTTGTCCCACATCATTAATATGCCTCCCCTAGTGCCACTAGCCTGCAGTTCCCCATATTTGACCCCTCTTTTTCCCCACACTTGTTTAATGTCCTCCCCACTATTTCCTTCAAGCTTTGTCTCCTGTAAGCAGATCACATCTGCTCTCCATTTCTGAATCACTCTATTTATCATCCTCCTTTTATCCCTACAATTTAAACCCCTCACATTCCATGAAATTATGGAGACATTCATCATATATCTAAAGCCTTTCCCCTCCCCCTATTTCTTGTGCCTTTGCTTTGGAATTTCATATCTATCATTAAACCTTTGAGCTCCTGTATGCCTTTGACTTTGGTGCTTTCCCCTGTTTTCCGCTCTGTTTCTATATTCCTTGAATGTCTTCTACTGTCTATCTTCTTGAAGAGTGCTAAGGCTTCCTTTCTGCACCCCTCAAACTCAACCCCGAACTCTTTGCTCAACTTGATTATGTTTTGATGAACCCACAGTGATACATCCATTGATTATTTTTCAAGGTTACATATTTCTACATTGATGTTACTCATGAACACAAGGAGAGCTACAAACTGTTCCTTGACAATATTTGCAGTCCTTCATATTTAGTTTTAATTTGTTTGATTTGGTGTAAGGTACAATTTCTTAGATGCATAGTAGGTGTTGATACTGAAAACTGCATCTAACATGCTAACAGTTATAAGAGTATCTTTTGTCCAAGTAACATTGTTAGCAGCTGTACCAGAGAACTTTTCAATTGAAACTTGTGATACATCTGGAGGCTGGAGCTGTCCAATTATCCTCCATTGCAAAAGAGACTTTCTCAAGACAACTTCTCCCTCTTTTAAATTTGTAGTTAACAGAAGTGAACCTTCTAAAATATAGGTTTAGAACGAAACTTTGAAGGTAATTGTTAATATAGGGTGTGTTATAACAGCTAACTGAGTATTTTAATCAAATATTTTCACCATAAGCTGTCAACTAAAAGATACTACAAACACTTGTCACGGATGTTGTATTCTTTGAGAATCAGTATTAACTTATTATGCATCTTCTTGATGCTTTTAATATTAACTCTTACTTTGTTAAAAAACCCAAACATATTATGTGTCTGTGTTACAGAGCATTTCAGCGGCTTGACTATATCTTGCTATGACTAGTTCATATTACTGGCTCAATTTTGGATATAGATTGTTAAGTATCCATTTGATTTTCCCTAGTAGTGAGACGGTTGTGGTATTGAATCTATTTGTATCATGCTTTTTCCCATGAAGACTAATGTCTATCTACTCTGATGGAAGCTTGAATAATCACACTGTATCACCATCAGCCAACAACAACTTTATGCACAATTATGCAAGTTAGAAGAGATCAAATTTGGGTTTAGGAATGACCGAATGTGGATAGACTTCAAGTGCTGGTATTGACCTGTATAAGTTCCCGTAAAGCAGGAGTTTTCAGAAAATCACAACTTCTCAATAGTTTCCACAAAAAAATTCGTATTCTCTCCATGTTTGGATATGTAATTTCCTTGAAGTTGGATAAGAAAAAGAAAAAGTAAGAATAAATTATGGTGGTTATTCATGGAATAAAAGTATAAATCTACTTCCTCTGTTAGTTTTTTTAAATCCTGCTAGCAAGACGACCAATCCTAATGGCCTTGGTTTATGAAAGAGAAGAGATGGGGATACAGGACTAGACAGTTCTTTTTTATTCCTTTGTAAGTTCAGTGGGGAAGACGTCTGGGTTTTCTCCAAATAGGTTTTAGTTATGACCTTTTGACCATCCAGTGTGACTCGGAAAGGATATAGTATGGTGTAGACTTACTTATAGGGTTAATAAAAGAAAACAGATGTTTCAACTAGGTCTAACTTGAGACCTTTTGGCCTTTAAGTTATTTGGCAAAAGTTACAGTATTGGAACAGAGCTTCTTATAGGGTGAATAACGAGAAGGCGGAAAATTCAACTAAGTTTAAGTTGTGACCTCTTGGCCGTAGTTTACCTTCCAAACATTAAATTACAATATGACATTTCCATTCCTACACAAGTTGTTCACAGTAACCTTAATAAAGTAAAAAAAGGATAGAGAAGTGATATATGTAACACGAATTCTAGACACTAGTTTATATACACAAGAACAAGCAGAAGTTCTGTCTTGAAGTAATCTCCTCTCTATGGGCAATTTCTTGAAGAGCATAGGCACTTTATTCTTTCTGTATCTGGACTGCTTCTCAATGAGCCGATAGGTATCAGCATGAAACTTGAAGGGGTATTATGTCTAAATGGGGCCTTTATACGCCCACCTGTCAAGCAAAGTAAAAAAAGGAATTAGATACTCTTCATATATAGTAGAGTATATTATTTGAACTCTAGAATATCTTCTAAGCAAATTGAGAGAATCTTCAAGCTGTTAGATCTTAGTTGAATGCTCCTCCAAACTAAAATGACAGAATTATATTTTATCCTTTTTCTATTTGGCAGTGGAAAGGATGAAATTTAAGAACAATTACCATAGGAAAGGAAGACCATTTGGTGAGGAGTTGAGGGCCCAAAAAGCATAGAGAATACCAGGTATCCACCCAAGGAGAGTCAGCAAAATACAGATGAAGAATTCAACCTGTTTCCAGTACAGAAAAGAAAATTTTCAGAGACCATGTGAAATCTGCACCATCTTTATACAAAATTTCCAGTGTTTTAGAAGAAAAAGTAAAATTTTACTTTCATTTGCATTGTACACTGACAAATCCTTAGCCCTGGCCACCCTTGAACCCCAAAAAGGAAAAAAAAAAGAGAGGAGGAAAAGGTTGTCTCTAGTACCTCTCTAGGGCCTATAGAAGGCTGGTGGTATAAAAGAGGATGAAGCATGCCCAGCCAAGCCGAATTTGGGAGTGGAAAATCTATCAGATGCCATGTTTTTACAGGCAATATTCAAGTTTTCGCCTGCAGTAGTTTTAAGTTAACTGGAAGGAAGCCTTTTATTTAGTTGGTTTATGCATTTAAAGTAATCAAACTAGTGAATTTGATTACTGAATGTCCAAAGCAAAATAAATAAATAAAAATTACTGTAATATGTTATCAAGAAGAGCAAGTAGGGAGAAGGGAGTAGTACCTTGCAACCGAACTTGCGGTAAGCAACAAGGGGAGGCAAGATGAATGCCAATAGAATGTCTACGCATGTCATTTTGCTGTCTTCCATTTTCCCCTCTTCTTCTTCTCTTCTGTTTCTTAACGACTTCTGATAAAATGCTAATTAAACTCCAGATTTAGGAATGTCAGTGGATTTTGAAAAGGAGGTTGAAGTGGTTGCCCTATATATATAAAATGACAGCAGTGACATTTGATTTTTTGCAATATGGATTGGGTTCATAAATTTGTTGTGGATAGTATTGACATGACTTTTGTGGAATGTGGCCCCCTTTTTTTAAAAGGCTTATAATGCTTTGATAATTACTTGTCTTTGACTCTTTGCAGTATGGGGTGCTTGCAACCATGCATTTCATCTTCATTGTATTTTGAAGTGGGTGAATTCTCAATCTGCTCAAGCACATTGTCCCATGTGTCGCCGTGAATGGCAGTTTAAAGAATGAACAATAGTTCCGTGCATCTTTTGCTCATGAATGTGGCAGTAGGAAGGAATGAAGTGTCTTGTGTGTGATACTATGAAATTCTAGCGATAATAGCTGAGCTGATATGTGCTCATCCCCATATACAATTATTAGTTTAAGCTTTTAAGGCCTAGAATAGATGGTGTATTTTATCAGACTTGGTTGCAAGTGCAGATATTCTATTAGCCATTTATCCCAAAAGTCCTCAATATACCAGTTGCCAGCCATTGCTTGAGAAGAAAAAGATATACCGGATGTTTATTTCTGGTCCAAAGTAGGCAGCCTGTCATTATAAGTCTGGCTCCTTTACAACAGCCGCCTCTACCCCATTTATGCCCACTTGAAATTGGTAAACAAGCATCAAATGACTCTTAATATATTAGTGTCTTGTGACTCCTTTGATCATGTACATGAATTATCAGGAACGTGCAGGCATGGGCCTAGACGTAACTGGCATAGGGACAATGTTTCGTTTGTGTTTTGTGATATATCTTCAACTTCGTTGTAATATCTTGGGGTGTTTGGAAATTTGATTTCCCAATTCTGGCGTTCCCTCTTTCCATGTTATTACCCTTTTTCGAATTACTATATCATTAATCTTACTGTTGTTTTATTGATTTGCATGTACAATGCCTTGTTGCGACACTTTTAAACCTGTGATCAATATGTTTAGTGGTTGTGAAAGTTGTATCATATATGTCTGTTTCATATTTCTAATCGATTATAATATCATTTTGATTTAAAATAGAGTTCTGTCCATTATAGTAAAAAGGAAATCACTTTTCTATTTGCTTCTTTTATCTTTGGGGATCACCCAAAGTTAGGAATATGAAAGAGGAAATCAGTGATTAATGAGAATCCAAAGCTTAGTTATTGGTGTATGGCAAAGTAAATGATTTAGACATACCACCGCCACTTGTCACCTTGCTACTTTGATGATGATTGATATGTGACTGCAGTTTTGTCCCCATTTGTGTTTTCTCTTTGTAAAAAGAGAATATTATGACAAAATTAAGTAGTAGTAATAATCATCATAAGGTTGGTTTTTAGATAAAATCGGACACGTACCAACGGAATATATATATAATAAAATAGAGTTATAAGCTAATACCAGCTGTAACACAATCAACATAATCCAATAAAATACAGAGTGGAAGTTACAGTACAATCCCAAATGACTCACAATAGTAGCACGATATATGTTTCATCACACAATCTGTCCACAAGAGAAAAATAACCAAAAGCCAAGAATAAATAGGAAAGGTAGCTAGATACTCCATTAGCGCAAATGAAGATACTTAGTAGTAATATGGTCTTCAAATATCCACCTGTCAAACTAGGAAAAAAAAAAGGGAATTGGATACTCTTTCTATATACTACTATTATATTGTATGAAAAATATCTTCTAACCAGATTAGACCTTATTTGAGTACTTTTCCAAACCAAAAAATAAAATAAAATAGAGTAATGAAAATTGAGAAAAAATTACCATATGATGATCACTTGGTGAGGACCCAAATAGCATAGATGATACCAGGTAGCCACCCAAAGAGAGTCAGCAAAACACAGATCCAGAACTCCACCTGTTTTGTTTTCCCAAAACACACACAAAATATTTATTAAAACTTATCTTTATAAGTACAAACCTATGATAAGTAGAAATTTTTTAGGGAAATTGTGTGCAGTAGTAAGTAAATTATTTAGTCGACATATGAATTTAAATTAATCGGAGTAGTGAACTCAAAAAAGTAAAATTTAAGAGGAGTTAACCTGGCATTTAAACTTGAGGAAAACACCAAGGGGAGGCAAGATGATGGCCAGAAGAATGTCTATGCATGTCATAGTGCTGTCTCCCATTTTCTCTTCTTCTGATGATGATAATCAAAGAAATGCTAATTAAACAGTAAGTATGTATTTTGATTAAAACAGGAGGAAGTTGTGGCACCATATATAGGCTGATAAGTATCTGAGGGTTAGTTTCGTCTTTAATCACGTTTGCATCATTATAACTACTTTGCCTTTAAAAACTTTTTTTTGGGATTAGTACGAATAGAATTTAAACGGATCAGGCTCCTCTCCATTTATCTTCTCTCTATTTTCTCCAAGTTTCTATTTTCTCCAAGTTTCTATTTGGATTAGTGACACATGCCATAGGTTAAATTAAATGACTAAGATTTAATTTCTAAAGTAAATTTCTAATCATGATTTAAATAATAAATATATTATATATTTAATTTTAAAAGTTACTATAACCCCACAATATTAACAACATATTATCTTGTACATAAATTTAGGGGGAAAAAGTTCTCTTCCTAATTTTTTTTACCTAAGGATGTTAATTTAATTTTCTTTTTAAGTTAATATTTTTGATTGCATTTTTTCCTTGATTTTTTTCTTTTTAACCATTAGCTATTGAAGAGTATTATTTTTTCTATTTTATTTCACCTTTTTTTTTTTTCTATTTCCTTCAAAATTAACATTAGCTATATTTGACAGCAGTTCAATATTTAAAAGAAAACAAAAAAAGATCCCACGTAAAAAAATAATAATTAGGAAGAACTTTTTTTCTCTTTATTTACGGACAAGATAATATGTTGCTTGTGAGATTATAATAATTTTTAATACTAAATATATATTAGAAAATTAAATCTTATATTTTAACCTATGCCATGTGTCACTAATTCAAATAGGAACTTGGGGAAAATGAAGAGGAGCCGGATCTAATTTGCACAACTCATCCCCATTTAGCGCCGACATGTGGTAAAAGAGCTGTAATTGGAGGGATGGACTACTGCTTTCACCCTCTCCATCACATGGGAATTAAGTTGGCGTTCTCATTAAAGGGGACGTTTGGTATCGAGATAAAAGGAATAATAATTTCAGGATAAAAAAAATGCAAAGTTAATTTAGCATGGGTCTGGTTAAAAGTATTAATTATTAATTCTTCAGTAATTTACATGAAATTGATGGATTAGTTATCCCACTAATGATAACTTAATTTGTTTGGGAGGTCTTAATTGTTTGTGTGGGATTGACTGATAACTTTTCACTCCATTTGCAGATGGAACGCTAGTTCGTTGTTGCTTCATATGGACATGAGACGAGTTTTGATGGTTTTTGTCCAGATTATCCGCTAAGTAAGCCTATTTGTTTATGCTACTTTTGTCTAAATTGTAATTCACCATTCACATGTTCCTCAAAATTTAGAGTAGCTAGCATTCTCTATTATTATATCAAACTATATCTACGCTTCTTTCGATGGAACTTTTCATAGTAACCTTTTTTTTTTCATTGTTAAGTTAATTGTATTCATATTGCGCCTTCTTCCATTTGTTTCACTGATGTGGTAGCTAGCTTTATATCGGTTCACAAACAGGGGTTTAGTTTTAGTTTTTGTATTTAAAAGATAAAAATAGATTTTCGAGAATCACATAGTTATTGGTGGATAAGAATCGTCCCTTCGGTAATATGCAACAAAATTAGAACGATACCCACCAGAGAATAACATACAAAGCAAAAAATGATTCAAATTTGAAGAAATAATTAATAAACATTTAAGAATTGATAGTTTTGTCTTCCCTTCAATTGACTCCCCTCTAAGACAAGTGTGGAATAAGTGGAATTGAAAAGTGAAGCTTCTCCAACTGATTGGCACGTGTAGCCCGGTGTAGGGATGGCAATGGGATGTGCTTTCAACCCGTCCGGCATAGATCCGCTCCGATTAATTTTTTAATATTTTCTGTTTCTAGTTAAGTTTGATACTAAAAATAAAATTCATAAAATAAATTTATTTTTTCATTAAGTTGTATTAATTTAATAGCATAGTGACTTAAAATTTTATTTTTTAGAGGTTAATTGGAAAACAGGTAAGAAATTGAATTATTTTTTATTGAACCATTTTTATTTACTATTTTAAATATTTTAGTAGTTTTAAAGAAATTATCTTAGTAAATAATCTATCATTCTTATAACATTTTAAAAAAATTAAAATTAAATTTAAATCCACATAAAATCATATATACCTGCAATCCACCCCATACCGCATTAATTTTTAAAAATTCACTTTAACCCTTCCCACCCGGCATAGCCTTAAAGCTGACTCACCCCGCATTTGCCCCGCCTCATTGCTATCCCTAGGCACGTGTGGGCACTAGCCAGTCAGCAATCACAATTTGGTCACGAAATTGCGTTAATTATTTGTTTAAATGAGAAGAAAGCACATCTATAATTGGATACATCTGCCGACACACGCTGCTAATATTGCCAACTTGGATAACTAATTTGGATTTGATCTCTATTATTTTATTATTTTCTCCATTTTATATTATTATTGATTTAGCATATATCTCCATAATTTTTTAATTAAAAGTGTATTTTATTAAACTATACTTATTAACCATGTCTTGAAATACTTATTTATGTAGTTATAATATGTTATTAATTTTTGTTAAATAAAATTAAACATATACTATTTTTTTTATCTTAAAGAAAAGCACCACCATTGTCGCTTACTACTTTGATGATGAAACTGATTGTGACTGCATGCAAATTGTCTATTGTCCTCACCTCACTCCCCATATTTCTTTAATTTATTATAAAATGAAAAAAGAAAATTGAGTATCACCGTATTACAGGTGTTGGTGTTGATGATAAAATCAAACACTTCTATTGAAAAAATATCCTACCTACCAACCACCAGTAGTTAGACTTCACAAGCAACATGTTAAAAAGAGAAACCACAGGAGTACAACAATTATTGGTATATTCAATTAAAATAACAGAATGGAAGTACACAACCAAAACTCTATCCAAATTTCCTGACAAGAGAGAATAGTAGCCAATAAAGAAAAAGGAGGGGATAAACTTTGAAAAAATACATCCAAGAATAAATAAAACAACAGCTAGATAATATACTCCATTAGGGGAAATAAAGTGACTTAGTAGTGGGCTTCATCACATATTCACCTGTCAAAAAAAAAAAAAGTAAAAGGGGAATCAGATACTTTTCAGAAATTGTAAGCAAATTGAGAGAATTTTCAAGGTGTTTGATCTTATATGAATATTCCTCCAAATTAAAATTACAGGTTTATGTTTTACCTTTTTTCTCTTCTCTAGAGGAGATGATCACTTGGTAAGAACCCAAACAGCATAGACAATACCAGGTAGCCATCCAAAAAGAGTCAACAAAACACAGATCCAGAACTCCACCTGTTTTGTTTTCCCAACAAAAAAAAATCAGAGTAGTAGAAAATTAACTCCGATCGCGGCTAGAAGATGCTATGTAATTTGCTTCATAAATTCTACGCTTTGGTGGATAAAATTATTCATGTACTTGTGAAAAGTAGTAAATATTCAAGCGATCGGACACCAAACTAAATTAAAAGAAGGGTACCTTGCAGCCAAACTTGAGGAAAACACCAAGAGGAGGCAAGATGATTGCCAAAAGAATGTCTACACATGTCATTGTGCTGTCTCCCATTTTTCTCTTCTTCTTCTGATAATCAAATACTAATTAAATAACAGATTTAGGAATGTCACTGAATTCTGAAATCATGAGGAATTGGTTGCCCTATATATAGGCTGATGGGTATTTCTCTGTCGAGGGGCTAATTCGGTATTTTCACTACGGTTCCTTAAACGCGTTTACTTCCTCAATTGTATTACCCTCGGCCCTTTTTTTTTGTTTAACGGTTTTTAATTTTGCTTTTGGGGGATGAAGACGAATTCGATTTGTACAGCTCATATAATTTAGTGGTGTCATTATCTACTTTGCATACTAGTAGTATTTCCTCTTTCTTAGGGTCCTGCTGCACCCATGCTTTGTTTCATCTTCGAAAATGACGAGCAATTAATATTCTACATGGAAAACATTGCAAATTACTTTAGAAATACAAGGGACAATATAAGTGAAGTTTTTGCTCTATTATAATAATTTGAGATGAGAAACTGCATAAGTGTTGATTGAAGAGCTATCATATATTTCATTTCTTATTTATGGTAATTTATGTTTAAATTTTAGAAAATGACAAGTATTGTGATCTAGCTATTTATAGAAAGGGATGACATATAAAATGAGACGGAGGAAGTATTTCAAAGTGTGATAAGTACAAGTGAAATATTTTCTTTCTTGGAGTTAAATAAAGAACCAGTGCAACTGAATATCATTGGCTCCAATTTTAATGACGAATATTGACGGTCAAAATGAATTTGGGAATTGAATTTGAGTCTAAATTGAAAAGGTACTATTACTATATATTTTAATTGAATCATGTTCCAATTTTCAAATAAAGAAAAAAGTAAAATAATGCCGTTGGACAATTTTAATCACTTCTCCAAAATAAACAATTGGACAATCCCCCCCCCGAGATTTTGGGTTCAAATTTAAATTTTAAACTTGTGGTGATTTGATAATTGAAAGGGCCCTTTGCTTTAAACTTTGGTGATAACTAATATGTTCAAAACTAATAAGTATCTCTCACTGTTTTTATTAGTTTATAGCAAAAAAGTTTAGCCCTCTACATATTTGGAAAAGCAGAAAAAATTTCATCGTATTTTAAGCTGATGCCGATATTTTCCCAAAGATCATTTTCTTGGCCAATTGTTCTTTTTCATTAACATTTCTGTTTCATTAGTCATTGTCTAACATTTCTGACTAATTTGCTTACCAAATAAAGAAGAAAATCATCTACCAGCAACATTTGTAATATCTAGAAACATTTTTTATACTAATAAATCTCTACCTACCCATTTTGAGCCCTCCTTCATTCACATATAAAAGAACAACCATGAAATTGAAAAAAAAAGGTTATTTTTTTCATTAAAGATCAACTCAACCAACCATCAAATTTCATTTTTTAGTTATTGGAGTCACACGTACCTAATATATAACAAAAACTATACATTGAGTTCGTTTGAACGTGTACCTAATAATGCAGTGCATCTTGTGTGGAAACTACACAAATTTATTCTTCTCCGTCCACTTTTAACTGTCATAATTTTCTTTTTTAGAGTCAAACAATAATAACTTTGATTAATATTTTATGATTATTTTTTCATCATAATATGCAAAAAAAAAATTGAAATTTATAGAACTTTTTTTCGTATAGTTTTTTAATATCTAAATTTTTAACAATTTAACTTTGAAAATTAGTCAAATTGACTTTCGGAAAATGCAACATGACAATTAAAAGTGGAGTTTTTTTTTTCGGAATGATGAAATACATACATACATTCTTGACAAAAAATAAAAGGTTCTCCACTTGGTCAACTAGCTGTAAGAACCAAATTGTCGAAACTTGAAATAAAAGGCTGATGGAAAAACAACTCATACAGATCAGAAAAAGAAAAAAGTTGATCAAAAGAAGAAAAGACATATTGTTTGTTTTATCATTTATATTTTTCTTCCACAAATTAAGCAGCCTTCCTTAAAGCCGGGGTCCTTGGTAATTAAGTTGCTCTATCGAAGAGAAATCAAAGTTTCAAATTTAAAACTTGTTCCACAATTAATCTGGATTTAATTAAACATGAAACATTGCAAGTGCCCAATTGTCAAGGATTAAATAAGTTATGAGAATATAATTAAATAATTAAAATGTGTTTTTTTAGCTCACATGTTTGACTCAGGAAAAAAATTTGAATTCGCGAGTAAAGGGTCGTGTTGAGATTATAATTAAATAATAAAAATTATGTTATCTCTAATAGCTTAAATTTTTAGATGAGATGGTCACAAATTAAACAATAAATAAGTTTATACGTAATTTTATCATTCCTCTAAATTCAAATCAAGTCAATTTGAAAAAAATAATTTATGATAAAACAATTTATATAACTCAAGTTATTTAGCTTATGACAAATAGATACATAGAATCAAAATACCTAACTCTGATTTCCTTTTGTCGTTTCCACCAAAATGAAGATATTTCTTCACCTCATAAAATCAAATATTTATTTTTCTTGAAATATAATCGTGTACAAGTGATTTTATTTTTCATACCATTCATAATATTGTACTCTTTGTCTTTTTTCGTTTTGGCACATTCAGATTGACAGCGATATGAGGCAGGAAACGTAAATTACGTAATATTTTACAGAAAAAGATTATGATAAATAAAGAATGAGTAAGAAAAAGAGAAAAAAAAAGGGTCCTGGTATTAGCTGGGGGCACGTGACAGGTTAATTAGTGCTGATTTATATGTGAGCCGTCACCCCACGTGTGGGAGGATCATATTCCACGTGTGCCAGATAATGAACCCATGTTTGACAGATAATTTCCAGAATCTTATTCTTCTTAATTTGCTAATAGAATGTTATTACATTCCCAAATCCGGTTTGGGTGCAAAATATAATATGGCCTAAAAATTGATCGTTCGTTCAATTCACTTAAACTTTTTGCGTATCTGAGTAAAAGATAATTTTGTATTGGATTGATCATGAATAACTTATTTTTAAAGTGATCTCCTCATGTATAGATCCTATTAATTATTAAAAATCTATTAGGACTTATTATTGGACCTGAATCACCTCTCGTCTTCTCAATGCAAGTACCCCATTCAATTCCATTATATATTATCCCATTTTGTATGACATTTTTTGACTTGACATAATATTTAAGAAAAAAAGGAAGATTTTTGAAACTTCTAATCCTTAGATTTTTGGATGGTTGTAAATCATTTCATTAATAATAATATGAAAACTTTAAAATTGAATCATTATTTCTTATTATATTAAGGTAACATTCCTTTTGTCTACTAAAAAGGAAAAAATGTCAGATTGAGGAGTAGTATAGATCTAATGAGAGAGCATGCACCCACGGGGTTTGCTAATTCATGTACGGTATGGAAGTTCATTGGAATAATAATGGGCGACAAAGCTTAGCTTGGCCCTTTTCGTCTTTACCAAGGAGGTTAGGCTTATCTCATTGGGATTGTCTTGAAGAAGCTGTCAAAACATAATGAAAGTATATGTGGGTATTAAGGGTGCAAATGAAGAAGAATTACAAATTGAAACATTTATATATGGTGATCGTGTTTGCATGTAACATGACAATATGATGTCGGTCTACATTTTACGCAACATCAAACTTATAATCCGTTGGCTACGGCGTAACAATTACAATACCTTCTTCTTCCCCATATGTACATTATGGGCTACCTAGTTGCACCACTCAACAACGTAACTCACAAACAAATTTAAGTCAACTCTCCTCCCGTTTATTTTTACTTGTCACACAACAATAAATATAACAAGTTCAACATTTTAAGAAATGACTATAATTAGTAATAAAAATAAACTAGAAATTAAATGATATATTATTTCTTGATTTTTTAATCTAAAAAAGTAAAAATATGAAGATTTTTAATACATGGACAGAAGGTGTATATATTAATTTTATTTATGAATGTTTCTTGTATGATGTTGCTGTCTTTGCCTTTAATGAAAGTTAGTACAAACTTAATGAAACAAAGTCAACTCTAACTTAAATAGGAGTAGTAAGCTTAGCATATGCATTAATCATTAATGGAGTTTCTTGTAAGCCTTTTTTTTGGGGCTGTCTACATCGATCGAGCTGGTCACCGACCTTGTTGCCGACCATTTTCTCATGATAAACTTTTATTTTTGTTATGTCGGAATAATTTTAAATCATAATCCATTTTAAATTACTAAAAGCAACTACTTTTTTCGCTAAATTTTTCTAAGTTAAAACTAGAAATTCTTTTGGATATGATGATGCTAAATGAAACAATGGATTGATTTAATTTGTACTTTTTTTTCCAGTGTCATCGATTCCCGATTGTTTTGAATCGCAAAAATGACATCTTCTTATAAAGCATAATCCTTGATAATAATCGATGTGATGTTCTCAGAATTGCACTGCCCAAAATGCCGTATCAATATTAATTAGTATAATGTTTGACATTGTGAATATAAGATATAACAATGGCGATGAGTTATTACAATACTTGAAATTTTGCAATTCTGAGACGTTTCCCAAAAATTACTACCCAATTTGAATTAACCAAACATGAATCGACTTAGGCCCTGTATGGAATGACTTTTGGCTTATGACTTATAAGCCAAAAGTCATAAGTTAGGATTTCTAACTTATGGCTTTTGGCTTATTTTTGTTATTTTGGCTTTAAAATAAGTGCTTATAAGCACTTTTTAACTTTACCCAAACACTTCAAAACTGCTTTAAAGCTATTTTGAATTAAAAGCACCTAAAATAAGTCAATCCAACGGGCACTTATATATACCTTCAAATGCAGAAACTGAATGATTTCGATCCTTTACACATCAACTAATGCTTGGTTTTTCCTGCTCACATACGTTAAAGCAGAGAAGGTCGAATTTGCGTGCTCTATTCTTAGATTAGAGATACATAGTACTCTAAAAATGCACAATGGGTGAACTACCATCAATAACGTGTTTTTATTTGTTCTTTTATAAGATTTTGTCATGATTTTTACAATTTTAACTAAGATAGTATCTCATATACAACCTCGTAGCGAGTGTGATACATTATATCGCGACTGAAACCAG